AGGCACAAAGAGCTGCCTCAGCTGTACCACAGTACTACATACAGTTAACTGCAGTTGCATATTTTATTCAACAGTTTAAAGTGGTCAAACAAAAGAACCTGTTAAGTAAAGCTGAGATTTACAGTGCTTGTTCCTTTCAAAAGCTTCATTAAATCAGCTTCTTACTACACAGCAACCATGAGGAACTGTTTACAATATATTAAAAATGCACCTTCATAAGAGTAGCAAACACAAGTCAGGGTGTGGTTGCCTTGCAATTGGCAGGGAACATGTGTCTTTCAAATATTTCCAGTTCTACTGTGCAGCAGGTTGGGTTCAAGGCAGCATAATGCAACAGGTTAAAACGCATTCAGAGTTATCTCATGCCATTGCCACAACTACAAGGTGTGCCTTTTGGCTCTGCTACAGATACTCTTTATTATTCATCTTACTTTACTTGCCTGTTCAAAGGAAAACATCATCTTTCTTTACAATAAGGTATACAGTAAAGCACTCCAATTTTCATAAAGAGACGTCCAACCATTTAGGATTTGCTAAAGGAGGCAATGAACATACAAAAACTATTCAATGTAATACATCCAAAAAGTTCCAGAATACACATGGAAGTTTAGGGGAAGCTCTCAGCAAGATCTCTCATCAAAGGGTCTTAAAGAAACCAAATTCTCATAGGATGAGAGAGAAAAATTACTTGGAAATTATAACCGGTAAACAAACATGAACTGGGAGATAAGCAGAAGCAATAAGCTTTTTTAAATGGCGACTAGGGGAGAGAGGAAGATGGGAAGAGGATGATGCACTGATAACCTTTCTCAAGTATCTACATTTGGACCTATGCTCATGAACATATGCATCAGCATGGAGTAAATTGACAGATACAGGAACTTTTGTAAACTTTGCAAAGCTAAAGTTTTTGAGATTCAGATTCAGAATTAGTCAGAATAATCTTGTCTGAAAGTCACTGTGGATAGCTACAAAGTGTTTGCACAGTGATGGACTGATTGTGAAATAAAATGTTAGATGAAATCCATTGCCAATAAATGCAATAGGAATGGAAAAATAACCTCAAGTGAATCTACATATTAACAGGCTTCACATTTGTTGTTAACCCTTCAGAAAGAGACTGGAAGTCACTACGGATAATTCACTGAAAATATCAGCTTTACACCATCAACAGACAAGTGAAAAGAATTGGGATCTTTTAGAAAGGAAAACAAAACAGAAATCATCACCACATACAATCTACCATGGTTCTTCTTCACCATTTCTGAGTTTGTCACTCACATTGTTCAAAAAGATAGAGGGACTAGAGAAAGAGAGACAATAAGAGATACAGCACAGCTTCCATACAAACAAAAAATATGGACAATTATGGCCTTAGAGGGATTTTAAAAATAAATAAGAGACAGCTAAAATCATGAACATAAGCAGAAAACAGTTTTCCATGGTATACAAGGATTGGTGAAATCCCAGTAAGATAAATTTCTTTTTAAACTCTGATTAAGAGCAATTTTCTTCTCCGCAATATGTAACACTGACCACAGGACAACATCAAGGACAGAATTATAGTTTGATTCAAGAAGTGAATCCGTGGAAGATCAGGCACTTTTTAATACCACAAATCTCTCATCTCCAATGCTGGCAGTCCTGAAGCTAGTAGAATTTGTAAAAATAACTGCTTGTAAAACTAACTGTTTGTAATATACCGTTTCTCACATTTTTCCCCCCGTATTAAAAAAAGGGGGGGAGCTGTTAGCTACAGTTTTAGCAGTATTTAAGGCTTAGATTTTACAGTCCCCAAAAATGATACACGTAAACTAGTTTTGATTAATAAGCATCTAAGTCACTCTCAGATTACTAAAACAAGTGTGGTTCTCTCATTTTTCAGTACATATGCTATTCAGCATTTCCTGAATGCTACCAGAACTTTCTCTTATTAGATCAAAGTTTTCTAGCCACCATTTGGGGCAGAGGAGGGCTGTGGAATGTCACAAGAGTCACAAATGAGTCACCTGAAACTACAGACTAGCAACCAAAGATGAACAACATATTTCATTAAGGAGCCCCTGCAAACCTGAAGCAAATCCCACGCATTTCTGTATCATCATCAGATTTGTATTAGGTTGAACTATGCATGTAATGAAAAAAAAAAAAAAAAAAAGAGGTTTTTAAAGTAAAGCCTGGGATACTGACAAGAAGTTGGATTCTTTTTCATGCACCAAATTTTCAACTGCTCAAAACTTGCACTCAATCCTTATAAACATCTCTTATTTGTAAAGCACATAATTTAAGATTATGCAATTGCACTATGGCTGCCCCAAAATACTATGTGCTGAAAGCACCAAAGTGTTTACGGACGAAGCTCGCCAAACAATCATTCCATCAAAACCACAACTCAACCACTACTTGAGCTAAACTTGTTCAAACTAGACTGAATTACAGATGTAAAGTATTATGTTCATACTAAATTGCAAAATAAACGCCAGGAAAACAAAAACAACACACCTGTTGGAATGCAATCTGCCACGCACAGAGCTGGCAGTGATACCCGTGCCGTTGTAATACAGAATTGAAAGAGGAGAGAAAAAAAGCAGAACAGTAAGTTTCATTACAGGAACACACAGAAAATTCATAAATACCTCAGACTACTGATATTGTTTAGGTGGGGTTCCCCCCCCCCGCCTAAACTGCACTCAGAAATGGAGTGATGCATCCCCAACAGGGGAGGGGAGAGAACTGAGGAATCTGTTCTCTCAGATTGACTGAGACTTTGTCTCATCCCAGTTTCTAGTGTCCAAAAATGACCCACAGCTGCCTCAATTAACATCCTCATTGCAGAAGGATATAAAACCAAAAGAATTACAGAAGAATTGTTGTGGCCGTGAATTCTCTCAGAATGAAACAGCAGCTGCACTACACTTGCAAAGCTGCATTTGTTACAACCTATGTTCTTTTTGTTCTACAAATAAAAGTTATACCAGCTTTGAGATTTTCAGATAAGCTATTTCCTTTTCCAGTTTGATTAGCTGCTCTTTACAAATATATTTACTAGCTTTACTGGTATTTCAGAGAAGGCAACATATAAAGACCCAGAAACACGTAAAGTCACCACGCTATTTTTAGGATGTGGTTTGATGAGCAAATCTTTTGATGCAGCTTCTTGCTTCTCTACTGCCTTCTCACTTGCGCAAGCATGTACAAGGTGGAGGAGGGTAGAGACAGCAAAATGACTCAATGACTTGTGCAGCAGTGACATACCTGGGAGGCAGGCCCAGAAGCAAAATCCAGCAGAAAGCCAGGGCTCCATAAGCTGTCACGGTCAGAAAAATAGGCCACTCATAATGCAGTTTCAGGTGTAGATCTGACACATAAGACACCCTAGTTCATCATTAAGTATATTACTTTAAGTTGTGAGTCCCTTTCCTAGGCTGTGAAACAAACAGATTTGGGAGACACATCTCTCAAAATCAAAACTGCAAAGGACAGTGAGTGAAATCCTGGTCTCTAAAACCTGCACTTAAGCACATTTCAGTCATAGGTGCTTATATGAGCTTAGAGCTTTCAAATAAAAAGAAACAAAGCTATATTCTGTCTCAACCACACGTTGCTCCTTTGGGCATATAAGATTGGCTCACTACCATTCAGAAAAGAGGGCCATCTGGCATGCAATAGATTAACGATGGATATCTCTGTATAGTTTAGATTACGTAGCAATTACCCAAGAAGTTTTGAAAAATTCACAAAATACCTTTCCATCTAAAACAGACCAAACTGCAATTAAAGACAAAGTATAAGCCATTTTAGGGAAGAAAAACTGAACTCATTACACTGAAGAGCCTTTTTAAGTACTCCTCAAAAGAAGGCACTAAGGAAAGAAGTTACCAACATTTTTAATAATTTTCTAATCTGCAAGGAGCAAAGAGGACCTAAACTATTGTTAGCTTATGTGTAACACCACAGTGTGTGTTAAAACCACCTTTACTCTTCCCTCAGATGTCCTTGGTTTAGGAACCATGAAAAAAAATCCACCTGCACACAGGCAAATTACTTTCCCCTGCTCCATCATGTCAAGCTCCGAAACTCTTCATGTTTAAAAAGAAAAATTAAGTCAAATCCATGTTAGCATTGCATTGCAGGAATTATATTTTCTTTGGTAGAAATAAAAGAGCTTTAAAGTGTAAAGTCACTGTACGATCCTTCCTGTTCACGAAGACCCTTCTAAATTCTTACAATGTGTTTTTTAAAAAGTCATACTACTTTTGAGTCCATTAACAACATAGAACCCGCAAGAACAAAAGGTCAGAAACTGTTAAAATGATTTGCCTACAGCTATGAAACTAAAGAAGTCACAAGAAATAACACAAAAAAATCCAGATATGGTTTAACTCCACACCATGGAATAGATCTTCAAAAGAAACATCAGGTTTCGTTCTTAGCCCACTTCTGTTCAAGCTTCTTCACAATGTGAGCTTTTTACTGCATGCCAAAAAATTATCAGGCAAAATTTTAATATCTGACAAGAAAAAAAAAAGCTTTTCAAATTCAAATGAAATGCATTTTAGGATATTTCAAACCCAAAGCAACTCCCTGAAGTTATTCCTCAGTAATAGTTATGACCTCCATACACTTAAAGTGGTTTAAAAAATGCTCTGCTTCCCCCAGGTTTCATAGCCAACATGGCATTTAACTTTATTCTTAGATTTCAAAATAAACAGATGCCAAAAAATTCACCTCCTTTTCCTCAACAAACTTAGTGTTCTGCCACCATATATCTGTACTGTGGAAAGCACTTCATGTCTACCACTACCATTTTCCAGGTTTAAGTATTCAGAATGATATTTCACCTTACGCTGGAACAGAGAAAGACTGAATTTGACTGCTGTCTTTACCCTTCGTGATTTCCTTTGTTCTTTCCACTTACGTAGCAGGAAGTGGCATATTCTGTGTTACAGTAGCCAAATATCCACAAAAGTAAGGTTTATGCAAGATAAGTGAATGCTTACCCTGCTCATCAATTCCTTTAGATAGCTGTAGGTTCACAAAAATCTTCAGATTTTCATTCCTGTCAGAGTTAATATCTGGTCAAGTCCAAAGAATGGTTTTCACCTAAAATATATCAAAAGTTGGAGATTTGATTTTATGGCAACAACATCATGACACACACACAAAAAAAAAAAAAAAAATCCCTTTTTTCTCTCCGAAGGAAGTATTCTAAACTTGTTCTCTTCTTTTGTAAAAACCTCATCAAGAAAAATTTTAGTCACATTTGTAACCATATAAGCAATTCACAGAGCGAACTGATAAACTGGATAAGACTACACGGCAAGTTCAATTACGGATGCACCATAGGCTTCAATATTCCTTTAGGTATACAAAAGGAATCAATTTCTGCAATTTGTTCAAAACACAAGAAGCCCTTTTGGCCAGATCATCCTGTAGCTTAACAATCAATTTGAACACTTGCCTGCTGAAAACATCACCTATTCGCATCCCACAGTAATAACAGTAACTTAAACAAGCACAGGAGTAACACGGCTCTGAACTGTTTGGTTCTGCTAAAGGAACAGATACCTTAAAATTGCAGGAGAACTTGCCAGATCCGTATGTTTATTAGCAGAAATAAGTTTTGTGCTTGGTGTTTGGGTTTTTTTCCTAATTAACGTTCCTCTGATACTTAAGGTGACCTTTGCCAAAGTCTCTTGGCAGTGATGCAGCAGTAGCCTTAGTACAGAGCTACTTCAAGTTTTGCAACTCAATTTCCCTCTTACTTTACACGTGACCAGAACTGCAGATCAGTGAATTCTAAAAATGAAATGTTTATGTCCCAGCAAATGTATACAGCTAAGAAGCTTCTTACATACAACTTAACTGAAAGTCATTATCACAATAAAGTATGAAAATTACAAGCATTAATAATGTTTGTTATTAGCCTCAATTTAAAAATACAGAAATGTGATTATACCTGGGAACACATGTTCTAACATCAGTTTTTACTTCTCCTTTTTGTGGGCTGGAGTTAAGGTTTATCTTTCAGGAGTACAGTCACACTATAAAGCAGTATGCCAAATCAGTAGCATTTTTTCTTAGTAAAGGCTCTCAACCAAAAGACAACCTGGTACAGGTCTAGAGTTCAACTGCAGCACATTCCTCCTGCCCATTAATTTCTCTCCTCCTCTAGTGGTCCTTAGCCAATGGTTCAATTAATTACTGTTTGATCTATGTGCTTAGTGTGGATACACTTCTGCAAAGTGGAATTTAGCTTTTAAGAACAGTCTCTGTTTTATCCACTAAAACACATGAAAATAAAGACTAATCAAGTTCATACTCCGTATCATGTATTCTCCCACCAGTGAAAATGGAAAGAATCGACAAAAAAGGATGAAACTCATTAATTGAAGTAATTCTTACATAACTTTTCAAAAGCATCAGCTTAAAAAAAAAAGCATCAGCAATGCTGACTACCTGCCTACAGAACCTTATGTTATCTTTGCAAAAAAATACCAGTGCCCCACTAGTGGCTTCTGCTCCTCAGTACTAAACTAATTCTCCTATTTGCTCAAGCAATTTTAGATCAGTATGATGAAGTCACAAGCAACTAAGAATACAAATTTATGATCAAGTGTAAGAAACTTTAAAAACAGGCATCCCTTAGAGTTTCACGCATGATGTACAGGGAAGGCATTCAGTTCAATCCAGGCTGATGCATTACTTTTTGTGAAAGGCATATCATAGCCTGGGAGCCCCTGTTCTCCAGGCACTCTCTGATAAGAGCATTGCAGGTGCTGTCAGAGTGAGACACAGTCAACCTTCTACAAGCACAAGGGCACGGCAAGAGCAGCACTACCACTTTGTAGGATTGCCAAGATAGAGAAGGCATTTTACCAGAAATTTCTCTTTTTTCCTGTCAGCTTTTTGGGAGGGAGGGTAGTGTTTTGGGGGTTTTGAGGCTTTTTTTTTTTTTGAGGATGTGAAAATCAAAAACTAAAACAAATTTACATTTGCTAGACTATTTCTTTCAATTTGCCATTTGTCATTCACTATTCAGAGTTTAAAATAAATGGCCTGTACAAGGCTTTGACTGCGGTTTTAACACAGATCAGTCTCTCATGAACAGTGCACACTTTTACAAGTTGTTTTAAAAGAACAAAACGTAGTTTAGAAAGCCCACACCTGTGACTACAGAAAGCAAGTTGCAGGTGCATTACAAAAATAAGCTTGTCCTGTACAGGTGATTAAAAAAAAAACCAACCTTCCTCATGGGAATAAAATAAATTCTAAGAGGTAGAAAACTGGAGTTAGCTGAAACTCCACATGACAACCCACATAATTTCATGGCAGATTAAAAGAATCATTTGAATAATCCAAGAAGCATGAAGCCATTCAAATAGGCACTGTTTACATTTTTATCTCATCTGTGTCTACTGATCAAATTAACAGAAAAAAGTAACATTGGCAAGATAGCAAGAGTGGCTCAATTAGACATAATTACACCTGATAAATCTTTTCCCATGAGGTGAAAGGCAAGACAGCTGTGACAAGCACAGGCTGCAAGCTGATTTGTCCCTATGTCCTGAAACACTACATGGTATCTTATAAATGAAGCTAGTGATCCAGCCTGCCAACAGCCCATGGCACAAGTTCCCAAAAAATAGTGTTGTCAAGGTCCCAGCAAGTTTCAGCTAAAGTTAGTCTTTGGCAAAAATCAAAGTCATATGACTGAAGACGTTACCATGAGAGAGGTCTGAACCTAAGCCAAGGGTCTGAATTCTGGATCACCTGGACTCCGCACCAAGACAGCTTCTATCACAGCTAGCTCCTGCTCTGGCAGCACTGTGCAGCCTGCTAGATGTCACAAGCAATATGGTAAAAGATACGAGTAGCAAGGACAAAGTGTCTTTTCTCACTGTTTCATGTGGAAGATTGGTCCACCCTCGACAAAAATATATTCACTGTCTCTTCTCTGTTCCCCACCACCACTTTGTTCCCCTACTCACTGTTTCTTAGAATGCCCACTTTCACATTTCTCCCATAAGCATTTACTCTGGCCTGACTTTCACCGATTTTAACTACAACACATTAAAATACGGTGCAAAGCACACCCCTGCACGCAGATCAAACAAACAGTAATTTATAAATTGAAAGCCGATGCTAAGAATAAAGTGAGCAGAAAACTAATTTTTCCACGCAAAGTCAGACAACCGCAATTGTTTGTTTGATGGCTGGCTTGAAGAAATACAATATAAACCAATATAACATGCCACACAAGGCAAAATACATCACTAGGATAACTAAAATGATGTGTGACTACCTGGTTCAATTTAGACGGAAGAAAACTTCAAAGAGCAGAGAAATATATTGATTAAATCTGCAGCTGTGTGAAACAAGTTTAGCTACAAATTAGAAAGTCTACTTCAAGCTACACAATGTAAATAACCCTTTCTGGAAACAGTGATACAGTAAAAAAAGATTCAATCAAAGGTTCCTCATGCATCTAGGAACAAAAATAGACATTTCTGAAAATGCACCATCTCAAGGTGTAGGAAAGATTAAGTTAACAATATTTGCCCTGCAGTGCTTGCCAGTGCTCTGTCTAAACCTAGTCAACAACATTCATTTCTACTCAGCACTAGTGAGACCTCAGCTGAACTAGCGTGTCCAGTTTTAGACTGCCCAGTTTAAGAAAGATGGACTGAAGCAAGTTCAGCGAAGAGACCACCAAGCGGTTAGGGCGCTGAAGTACATGAGGAACATGGACAGGCTGAGACACCTGGGCTTGTTACTCTGGAGAAAGCTTGGGGGATCATTTTGCTTTCTACATCTACCTAACAGGAGATTATAGCAAAGACTAAGCTAAACTCACTATCGTTGTACACCTCTGATTTATGCTGGCCATGCTTTCAGTGGGGCAGGTTGGACCAGATGACCTCCAGAAGTCCCTTTCAACCTAAATCAGTCTACAACTCTGAGACTACCCAAAGTTTTCATCCTGATTTTTGATGCTGTTTTCTGATTACTCAAGTTATTGAATTACTGCAGCACAACAGAGAAATACGTACAAAATGCTGGCTTTGTGTGGAATGAGTGAGGTTTCCAAAACCACCTGTGCTGCACCATTTTTGATACAAAGCAACTGTCACCTAAAAATAAGTAGTAAATTTTGCTGTAAATCTGAGCTGTGCTTTAGCTACTGTTAGAAGTGTGGTAAATAGAAGAATGAACAGCAAGGCACACAAAATACTAGTTTCCCTGAAGTACAGTTCAGAATACGGCACTGAGCCTTTCTGGAGGTACGGTGATGAACCAGTAAACTGTCTTCTATGCATTTTTCCCTATTTTCACACGAAAAAAGATGCTGCATTTCCAGAAAAGAGAAAAACAGACCTTTAGCAGACTCTGACTCACATGTATGCATCAAAACTAACTCTTTAAATGCAAGTTTCAGATCTAAAGCATGTGTGTGCCAACCTCCCACAGAAAGACTGGACATTTCTGCGCATACCTGTGGAAGGACCATGTCACCTGCTTCCACAGGCCACCAAAACACCATATATAGGGATGATGTTCCTTAAAAGCTTTTCAGAAAGCATAACGCATTAGATAAGAGCTGTATCAGACCAGTAGATCAAAAAGTGAATTTGTCATTCTGTTCCTTATCTAATGGATAGATCCAATGAGTGGCTCTAGCTTGCAATTGCTATGTAGCTCACAAACAGAAAGAGAACAGAAATCAAACAATGAAACACAATTTCTGAATAGTGTCCCGGAGAATCTTTTCCCTTGACTCCTGACAGGCACTGTGCTGAAGCAGTGTTCAGAAATACTTCCAACTACAACATGTTAAACATCAGAAACTTCCTGTAAACATCAAAAAAAATTTTACTTTAAAGGTGACTGAACACTGAAACAGGTCACACAGAGAGACTGTGGAGTTTCCATACTCGGAGATGTTCCAAACCCAGCTGGGCCATGTCCCAAGCCACCTGCTCTAGCTGACTCTGCTTTGAGCGGCGGGGTTGGACTAGTCATCTCCAAAGGTCCCTGCCAGCTAAGAACAAAGAGTCATTGAGGTAACTGCATTTGCAGTCAGTGAAGGTTAACCTCCATAA